ACCCTCCTTGTTTTTGTTTTCCCCCCAGCCACTGGACTTTAGTGGCTGTTAGCCATTCAGATCTGGGATGCATGTGAAAGACTTGACAATTAACCACCTACTTTCCTGTTGCTTGGATTACTCCAGCTCTCTGCAGCTTTTCTTTCTTTGGAGGATGGGATAATCTGTTTAATTTTTCTTTTAGCTATTTATTCCTTGCTCTGTCTGGATGTCAGCATCGGTCTTTCTATTTGTATAGAGAAAAAATGACATGATCTTACATTTTAATGTTTTTAAATTCACATGATCCACGCAGAAAAAGGCTGTGGCACAGTGTTAGAATAGCCTGTCCTCACAGTTGCATAGTGACCAAAAATTCAACACAAATACTATTGTTATTTATGGACCAGACTGGCCTTAGACACAGCGTTCCTCTGTGCCTGAGCTGCCACTGGAAGCTTGCTGGTAAAAACCAGGACATCGCCATTTGTGATTAATACTCCTGATGTTGGCAGATCCATTTTGCACCTTTCAGGGCTACTTGTCGCTGAGCTCTGTTAGAAGGGCTGCAAACCCTGGAGTGGGGACTTGCTCTTCTGCAGCAGGCTTACAGGGACTTTGTGCAGCACTTACACCAGAAGACAATTCAGTTTAAAATTCTCTTGCAAAGTGTATTTCTACTCTGTTCTACTCTTAGAAGATCTAGATGACTCCAAAGATAGTTACGGCAGCTTTTTTTTGCTGTGTGGAGCAGGACTTTCCTAAACTGCCTGTTTCAGAACTAATGCATTGTGAAGAACTTCACTGTTTTCTTTTCAAGCTACATAATTGAAACTTTCTTTATATATCCGCCCAAAGTTGCAGTTGCCTGTTGGTGCCACATTCCCAGCAGCTGAAAAGCCAGTGAAGTTTGGGGTTTTCTTGATTTTTAAGAATTACTCTCTTGTCACATTCAGGCAGAATATTTTGCTGTGCTATTCTGCCTGTGTGACTGGCCTATTTATAAACATAGCTTTTGTCATCGCTGTTATTTTTCACTGATGTTTTCCAGGGAAGGGAAAAGAATCACTCGTTGTTGTTCCCTTTCACTATGGAACGCAGGAAACATGGGAGTTTGCCTGCAAAGTTCAGATTCAAACTTTTTGGAAAGGTCAAGGTTCCTTAAAACTCATCATACAGAGGGACCAGCTGAGGAATTCGGATCCAAGTTTATTTCTGAACCTATACAAAACTTTGGCTGTTTGGTTACAGCTTGTGGCCTGTTTCTTTAGCATCGATATTGATGAAGATTCTGTCATGGGCTCTCTCTTCCAGGAGATAATTTTGCTTGTTAACTGTAACTGTCATTTAGCTTCTGATTATGTGGTAGAAGTTGGGGAGACACACTAAAAACCCTGCTGAGGGTGTTGCTCACAGTAGTAAATACAAATACTGTTGGGTTTGGGTTTTTTGCAGGCCGCTGCACCATTATTCTGCTCACATGACTTAAATGGGTTTTATTACCTTACTGAAAAATTGGAAGTTTGTTAAACCTAATGAAAGCTTTTCTCAGCAAAGCCTTTTTCAGGGAAAAACAAAACCAATGAAACCCTAGTGTTTTTTTGTTCAGACTGAAGTAGTCCTTTCTGTTGTACTTATACATTCCCTTGGCTTCAGTGTGACTCCACTTAAAGAAACCTGCAGAAGCTGCATTTACTTTGCTGCCTGCGTGGCTCTGTAAAACAGATTGCTTTCATCAAAGGGTCATATTGGATTCACATCACAAAACAGGTTGGAGACATTTTGGAAGTTGCACTGCAGTCACATCACATACATCTGCAGTCATGTTTGCTATAGTGCACATACAACTGTTTTCTGGGCTGTTGCCTTCTCACGGGAAATCTTTGAAACCTTTCTGGACAACTTGACCGTGGTTCACCGCCTCTCTCTGGTGCATTGTAGGACTTGTCAGCTCCACATTATGTGCTTGGACATAGACGCTGCTTGACTTGAAAACCACAGGGTTTTCCTGTCTTTCATTTTTTGTCCACTTCTTCCTCTTCTTGTAACCACTGTCTTCCTTCTGCTGCACACATGAACTAAAGGACCCTCTGAAACTCTTCACTTGAACAAGAACTTTCTGTCTTTGGTGAGAATTTTGCTTTAGGCAGAACAGCAGGATGTGGTCTGAATTGTAGAAAAGTACATATGAACACCACCTATTGTTAATTCAGTGCCTTTCCCCATTTGACATCTGCCTGTTACCTCATTCTTAGGTGCATTCCCTTTTCAAAGCAGGTTTGCTTTTAACTCCTTTGGTAAGTCAGCAGAAACAAAGGAGACTTTGCTGGAATCCCAGCTAATGGTTTGTCTGTCGTGGGTAAACAAACTAGCTACCAGGTTTGGGTATTTTGGTTCCAAGTGACTTTTTTTTTTGAGTCTTACTTCCCTACCTGTTTGATCTGCTTTAGGAACTTTAACTCATAGATGTACCTTGTACATTCAGCAGGTTTTTTTTCCTGGAGGAGGGAACTAGCCCATGCAAAAAAACCTCATGGGAGGAAGTCTGCCCTTGGGAAGAATTTTTTAGCTGATCTTTAATGACCCTTTACATAACGCTCTTTAACTTGAGGAGACTTGGTTCTGACTGCTTTTTTTGCAGTTTTATAGACTAGGTTTATGAACAGAGTACTTAACATGTAAGTGGTTAATTATCCTCTCCCCTCCTTCTTTCCTTGGACCATGCAGCTGCCAGCCATTAGGAATAAAACAGTTGCTGTCTCTCCTGTGTGCTGATCCTAGGTGCTAATACCTGAGCTAGCCAGATGCCCAAGTCACCTAGAGAGTCAGGAGAGCAAGCAGGGTGGTGGCTGTAGCCCATCCCAGTGCTGGCAGAATTCTAGGAAGCTTCAGTGCTTTGTGTAATTTGAGCAGTGGCTCAAACAGGCCTTTCATTTGTATTTTGATCTTCGGCTTCTACTATAGAGCCAGCTGTTTAAAAAGCAGTGAAGATACTATCTTCCTGTATGCTCTGCCTTGCAATTGCACTGTCTCACCTGGCAGGTTCCTTAAACTTTGTCTTGGTATGCTGTCCACACAGATCAGGCTTTTCCTCCTGCTGCCTTTGTTGTCTGGCCAGTTGAAGACTGTTGTAGCTGAGGCATCACCCTAACTGGAAGGAAAGGAACAGCTGATGCCTAAAGAGTAGAGTGAGGCAATTTCCCTTCCCGAGATATTCTGGGCATTTTCATTGGCAAATTTTCTATGCCAAAAGGGGTTTAAGGTTGGGGGATTTTTTCTTTCTTAGTGTTATTTTTGTTCTAGAGTCTGAAGTGCTGTAAACTCTTCCCTCTGTTCCTTCTTGCCTTTTGGCAAACTAACAAACAGGAGTTCAGTTTTCTTAAATGTATTACTGACTGTGGTATGTGAAGAGTTACGTTCTTAGCTGATACAAGTCAGCATAGTTTGCTTAGAGGTACAAGATGGAATTTCTGTGCTGTGCCTAAATGATTTTAGGGCTTTGTGCCAGTTTCAGGAAAAAGCATTGTCTTCGAAGTGTCAGATTTTTAAAGGCAGTTGGGCTTTTAAGTGTGTGAATAAGCATGGGGCCTGACTGATTTTACTGAAGTGGAATTAAGTGCCCACACTGTTAGGAGAAATCCCACCAGACCCCTGATTTTTTTTTTTTAAGTGTTCTGGTCTTTGCTATGGTACCTACCTGACTTAAGTTCTGAGACTGAATTTTCAGAGACAATTTAAGATCTCACTACTTAGTTTTCAAAATGAGAATCATCTTTCCATGTTAATTAGATGCTTTTGGAAATGTCATCTAATGTCTTTTAAGCTGGAGGGCTAAAAATGGGAGTAGAACAGTCCATAATGATGTCATCTCTGCATACCAGAAATGAAAGCAAACAGCAGCGCGTCTACCCAATTCATAGTTTCGAATAAAACAAATCTCAAAGTTAAATATCCAGTCTGCAGAGAATACAAAATCTAATCCCATTTCATAGCCATGCTGTTCAAAGTTAGTGTTAAATTTCAAGTGTTGGAGGATTTTTTTTCTTTGGAGAAATATGCTCAACACTTGTTTTCTGGAGCTTTTAATTAAAATTTGTCATGCTGTGATAAATTCCTTTAAAAATGTTACAGGCTCTAATCCACATCGGGGAAGAGAGAAACAGACAGCTTTCCATTTCAGTGGATTATTGGATTAGGAAAGGACACCGATTCCAGTGAGAACAGCTCTGTGATCTGCAGTGGCAGAAAATGCCGTAATGTATATTCAGTGGGTTTTGAGAACCTGCATCTATCTAATAACCTTCACACTACGCAGCCCAGTGTATGTTCCACAGATTAACAGTGAGTTAGACTTGTAGTGATAATGGCTCAGATTTTCTCTCCTTATTTATTTTTATAATTGTAAATGGAAATAATAAGTTTAAGATGTCTGTAATTTAACTGTAATCTTTTTTTATAGTGAAAACATTCCTGACCCATTACTGCTACCTTCTTTCAATTTTTTCTTTAATTAAAAACCTCTCTATCTTATATTTACTGTTGCAGACCAAATTATCTAGTGGACCAGGGTGAGCTTTTCCTAGGACTACATCAGAAAGGAAAAGTAAACAAATACTGTGATTTCATTGATTGCATGGCAGGAGAGGGGCTTTTTCAAAAGCACATGAGGTTCACTCATTCTGCTCCTCTTAACATTAAAGCAACTTTAGGACAGTATGCGTGGGCACTGTAGAGAGTACACAGAGGAGTACAGAGGAAGAGCATCCATGTATGCTGCATTGGCGTGACTGTTCTGCTTGAAGGCTGTCATTGAAACCCCTGGACATGCACGACTGCATGCTTTGACCTTGCTTTTCACATGCATGGTCTGCAGTTTTTGTATTTTTTCAACAGAGCTGTAAGTCCTCAGCAGCTCTGAAATTCAGCCCCAATATGCATGGTATTAATTGATGTAGTTTTTCATTGTTGGTATTATAAAGGTTTAATGACATGATAAACCTTGAGACATGTTTGTCTTGAATTCAGGAGAATATGAATGTTGTGTAACGTGTTTCTGTGAGTGTTTTGAGATCCTGGATGTGATGGTTTAGTTATAAAACCCACCTCTGCAGACTGCAAATACCTTCTTTCTTTCTCTTTTAGTCCTCTGCAATTGAATCAGCAAAAAATACAGCTTTTAAACTGGCTCTGACAAAAGAGTAGGAGCTAAGCTTTGGAAAGGGAGTCTGCATCTCTCTGGGTAAATGAGATATAATTCACTAAGTCTGTAAAGCAAGGTGTATAAATTTTCATGTTTTTTAAAATGCATTAACTATTGTAAAGTTTGTAAATACCTTTTTAAAATAAATGTAGTTTTTATGAGTGAACCAGTAAAAAAAAGAGCCTATAAAAGTCTTTCATACATGGACTACTGAAGTGCAAGTGGAATTACATTCCAACAGTAAGTTTATTCTTGATTTTTAACAAAGTTGTATTACTGTTTTATCCAGAGATTAGTGAGATCAGACAGTGCCAGGCATTGTCTGTACATGTGAAACAAAAGCTGTCACATCCGAGTTTTCATTGCAGGACACAAAGCAGGACCCTATGCTGCTGAGTCCCCGCCACTGGCCTAGAATGTGTTCTCTTTTACATATAAGCTAGTAATCTATACAATTATCTTCTACTATTTAAATACAACTTCAGAGTATTTATTCACGTAATGCAATCTAAGCAGAGACCATTTGAAGAGGAATTATTTTTAACATAGCTTTGAAATTTTATTCTGGGTCCGTTGTTCCATTTGGCTTTGTGGGTTTAAATCTTCTTTCGTCTTGCTTCTCCTTTGATCAGCCTTTCCTGTAAACACACATCATATCCTTTTTTTAAAGAGAAGAAATAACTTTGGTGGTGGAATTTTAAAGCCTGGTCAGATGCTAAAATATTCATATTGTGGTCTCCATTGGAAGGAGGATTAGAATGACATAAATCTGACCCGACGTGATCTCTGCCACCTGCCCATGGATCTGATCATATAATATAATGTAACTGACACTTATAATGGCCCTTTTCATCCCAAAGTGCATGACCAACTTTACATCTGTTAATGGGTCCACCACTGCAGCAGTTCTTGGAGTGCAACCCAACAGCTGTTGAACACTACACTTTGACAGCAGTTTAGGACAAGAAGCATGAACTTGCACAAAGCGTCAGTATGTAGAATGTCTCTGTTGAGCTTAAGCAGTTGGCCAAGATACCAGAGACAAGAAAGCTGTGCTTGCAAAAGTATTACAGGGTCATTACGGAGTAGCACAGTTGCCCTGTTGCTGTTCTCTGTGTACCTTAGTACTGCTCGAATGGAAACCATGTTCCTGTGTCACATGCTGCTGGATCTGGTCTCCTACTTGAATATTTATTTATGTTGTTACCTTTGAGTTGAAAGCCTGAGGTGTTTTGGATAGATGTACTGTCTGAATAGGTTATTTTTTTCCCTTTTGTATCTTAGCTAGGTGTGTTTTTGTTTGTGCTCACTACCAGCTTCTCCAGGAAACGATGAAGATAATTTGAAAAGTTTTTCCATAGGGTGGACCATTTCCAGACACCTTCCCTTTCATTGCATAATATTCCTGTAGCAACTCCAGGAATGTGTTACATTGGGAGAGCTGTATCTGGAAAAAGTTTAATTTGTTTTCAATGTCATTAAGCAGCTAGAAATAAGAAGGTGAAATAGTTCAGACTGTGCTGCAGGAATAAGACACGCAAACTAAGTGTTCGATGCAGAGGCTTAGAAGTTTTTACATTTATGTGCAAGATTACCAGCAGTTTCTGAGCAAACCTAAGAATCTGATGGGGGAGTGCCTTCAGCTCTGCAAAGAAAGGCCAGGTTTTGCTTAGCAAGCAAGAAGTATCAAGGGCTCATTTCAACTATCCTGATAATTATTCTGGTATCTTTTCCTGCCTAACAGTCTCTTGCAGTAAAAAAAAAAAAAATGTCTAAACATACTAAGTTACTGTTGCTGGCTCTTCATTCTGCAAGTACTGCCATTGGAAGCCAGAGTCATGGACAAAGATTCCATTTTATGTTCAGTACAAATAGGATTAAAGATGACCTAAAAAAAATACTGGATTTTAGGTAGTTTCTGGATGAAAATCCAATGGAAGTCAGACTCTGACCTGTCTGCATTACTGTTACTGAGTTTACGAGCCTTTATTCAGGCCAGGTTCCTCAGTGAAAGGCTAGAGTGTGTACTTGAAACTTTTGGTCTTGGCTTCAAAAATGAAGTAGAGATTGTGTTTCAACTTTTAGGACAGCTCAGAGACACTTCCCAGAAAGTGGTGACCATCTGGCCTGATCAAGGTATTGCTATATTAATTAAAGAGCACATTTTTGCTTCGGAGTATTCTTTCTATGGCACTTAGTTTGTATGTGAAGTCTCTGCTGTCATTGCATTAGAGCATCTAATGGAAAACACATTTCCTAGTCTAGGGACCTTGGGAGCAGCAGCTTCCATATGGCTTGATCCTTTAGCTGGCAAAGTGCGCCTTTGAAGTTAAGCATCTGTGAATGCTGCATAGATTTGTATTAAAGTAGAATGTGTTTGACTGTATTTTGTTTTTAATTTAATGAGTAAGGACATTGCTACAATGGGAGCATAAGAATAATGTAGTCCTGTCCTAGGACTGTAACTCTGAGGTACTTGAGAATGATGCAGATAATAAGAGCAGAGACAGTATTGCCACACGTGAACTAAACTTACATGCCACCTCTTCCTTTTCCACCACCTTTTTTCTCTTCCCTCCATGTACTTTCCCAGCCTTGACCGATCCCCTAATTTTCCCATAGTGATAAAAGAAAAAAAACATGTTACTTACCATGGCTTCCTTCAGATCACTGAACCTGGAATGCTGATAGGAACCTGGGCATTCAGTCTTCTGCACTTCCCCTAATTTTTCCATTTCATTTGCCATCTGAATTGGGAAGGGATACAGCCTTTACGAAGGGAGATTTTTCTGCTAAAGCAGCTCTACCCTAGTTACAGATGAAGATGAAACTGTTCCACTGCACAATTTAAATTCATCTCCTTCCCAGGTGCTATGTTTGTGCTACAGCAAACTTAAAATCAGGATGTTGGAATTTCTGTTAGGAGGGACTACACATGAAGTATTAGGAAGGATGAGAAAACCACTGCTTTCACATTTGCTTTGTCACTTAAGTGCTTACCATCTAATCGGTTACCACATGACAGCTGCCCATTGCCACATTCTCAGTGAAGTGGATGAATGTTGTCTTAAAACAGCCCATCAGAATATTGGCTGAAATTTAGGGAGAAGATGAAATCGGGTTTAACGTGGAACTCTCCTTTAGAGCAGGCTGCCCAAGCTCTCTGTCTGCAATAGACAGCGCTGTTCTTTATGCAAGGCTGTCAAATGTCATCATACCCTAATGCCAATTACTTTCCAATTGCTACTTTAAAAAAGTGTGTGTGTATATATATATGTATGTATGTTTGGGGGGAAAGAAACAGAGATATGTATACAGTAAAGCCTATGTAACCTCTTTTTTGCTTGCACCTTTTACAGATAAGGGTTCCTAGCTAAAGCAACAGGGTTGTTTTACAGTGTGGAACCTACCTCTTGAAATGATTCTACCAGGTTGTCGGCATTCCTTTTTCCTCCTGGTTGCAGGCCATAAGACCAGTGCTGAGCCAAGCAGATTTCCACAGACATGACAAACAGGAGGACACTAACAAAGATCTTCCTGGACTTCTCCATCCTGTGAGAGAAAACATTTTTCTGATTACAATGACATTGTATATATATGTATGTATGTATGTATGTTTGGGGGGAAAGAGACAGAGATACATATACAGTAAAGCCTATGTAACCTCTTTTTTGCTTGCACCTTTTACAGATAAGGGTTCCTAGCTAAAGCAACAGGGTTGTTTTACAGTGTGGAACCTACCTCTTGAAATGATTCTACCAGGTTGTCGGCATTCCTTTTTCCTCCTGGTTGCAGGCCATAAGACCAGTGCTGAGCCAAGCAGATTTCCACAGACATGACAAACAGGAGGACACTAACAAAGATCTTCCTGGACTTCTCCATCCTGTGAGAGAAAACATTTTTCTGATTACAATGACATTACAGCTCCATTTTTATCTTACAGAATTATGAAAATGTTACATTTCTGGATCTCCAGTTCTGATCTCCTGTGCCCCAGTGGCATTGTGCCTGTGTGTTAGCCACAGCTGGATTTTGAGCCCCTCAAAGTGTGGATTAGCTCACTATAAAGAGATTTAACAGCTGAAAAATTTGGATGAAGATCTAAATTAGGATTTTTGAGCACCCTTTCAGAGTTTTAGGAATGTCTGGACCTCAAAGGTTCCATGAAAGTCCCTGTTGATATTTGACAGATGCGTTCAGTTTAGCTGGTTTCTGTTCTAATGTCCCTGCTCCTTAAAAAGTGCTCTTTGCAGTTTCTTCTAATGCAAGTTTCTTCTAATACAAGCATCTGTTAAGCACTGAATAAGTAAAAAGGGAATCTGGTATGTTGTTCAAGCACATTACCTGCTTGCTGAGAGAGGTTGCAGAATAACTCCAACTCTTCTCCGTTTGAAAATGTCCTGCAAGTATGCTTGTCATCTCACTTTTTATATACAACCACCCCAACACCAAACCTTTCACAGCAGGTAACTTTATCTGATTCTCTCTCACAGGCTGCAATTTTGTTCTTAAAATTGCTGTAATGCAGCAGAAGTAAAGCACATAATTGGAACACCCCTGGTGTAGCTATTAAATTCAGCTGTTTTCTCTAAGAGCCATAAAAGTAACAGCCTTTCTTTTAAGAGGCTATAAATCTGACATTCAAATCGAGCTGACTGCTGTTGCCCCATGGAAAATACACAATCTTTTCTTTCAGTGGCTTCTAATATTTAAGTTCAAGTTCTTGGGTGTGTTTGAATTTGTTGAGAGGGGCTTACAGGAGCTGAAATGGGTGAGGAATTCAGCTTAGTCTCTGTCTATCAGGCATGAAGGAAACAGTCCTTTGGTGCATAAACAGGAGCCTATGATTGCACGAGTGCACAGAGCAATTTGCATGCTCCTTTGAAAGTCCTCCTCCTTAATGTTTAAATTAAAGTGCCTTGATATTCTTTGCTCTATAAAATGCAAAGTACCATTAAACTAATCAAATGGACAAGTATATTTGATTGTAAATATGCTGGGGAAGGGACCCTCTTTGTTGTCATGATGGGGTCTCGTTCATGAATAGGATTCCTAGACACTAACATTATTTTGTGGTTTGTGTGTGTGTGTAAATGTATGCAATGAAGTACTTCGAGAGTTCTTGAGAGTTTACACACTGCAGTTCTTATAAAGGGGTTGATAACTATTTGCATACAGGAGTTAAATTCAGTAATTTTGACTGCAGAAATGTCAATTTTTTTGATCCACCTGGCAGCTATTTTCACTTGCTATGCACTGTTTTATGTGCAATTGAATGTATCACATTTAGTGTTCTTCAAATATCTTCTCTTCCTGCTCCCATGACCTCTTTGAGATTAATGGATTAAAAGTAATTTAATAAGTAAATAACTTAAGGAGGATGTAGTGACTCTAGCAAAGAGTAATTCTTCCTGCTCTAATGCTCCTCCTACTCATGGCAAGAGTAGCCAACATTTAACTTCAGCTGATAAACTGATCAAGCTGTGAAAATAGTTTGTTTCAGTGGGAGAAACATTACTTCAGCGTAGGCACATCACTTTAGAAATGAGATTTTCCTGTACCAGTGTTTTAAGACTCCTTCCTTCCCTGATGAGCCTAGCAAAAATTAAGGTTATTTAAAGATAAACAGAAGAGTTTGTTCATCCTGAGGGATGACATTTAAAGAGGGAAGGGGGCCTGCTTAGCCCAATAATTGTACCTCTTATTAACCCACCATTTTAAGCTAGGTCTAATGACAGCCTACTCAACATCTTTCAACAACTATGTTTCTCCACAGGCTTCTGTTATAGCTACAAAGCTGACCTACGAAAGCACGTCAGAAAGAGCATGTAACTGCACTGGTTAGTGAGCTGTTCCATGTCTTCTCTTAAACTCTAGGCCACAGTCTAAGTTACATAAAGGAGTTGGTAGGTTAAAAAAAAGATTACAGCTGGTTTTGTTTGCCCACAAATACTTTTACGGCCCTGTGTAATGGAAACCAACAAACTACTGTGATTTTGGCAGAGGCAGTCTGAACAGAAGTCTGATCCAAGGTCTGGGAGTGCTTCAGTCTGGGCTTGTCAGGCAGGTGCCTGCTTTGTGCTCTCAAAAAAAAAAAATCTAAGTGTGAAGCTGGGTTCTTAGCACGTGACCTCTCTTTAGTTTTCAGACACTGGAGTATGGTTGATGTAGACTTTTCAGAAGAGCTCCCAGACCTTCAAGTGCACGAGTTTTTCTGTTTTGGGGAGAGAAATCTTAATGCCTGCCAATGCTGTTAAGTACCCATATGGAAGTCAAGGACTTGTCAGGAAAACCCAGGTTTGTGGATTCCCATGCCAAGAATCAAGACCTGTTTTATCAGAAGTGGTGGAAAGGCATATCCGAGCCTATTGAGTCTCTTAGGCTTTTTAGACAGCATTCCTAACCCAAAGGAGTGTGCTGGAGGTGAGAAACTGAAGAAAGAACTAGATTTTTTCCACTTTTGTTCTCGGGGTGCTCTACAGCACTTAGGCAGGTGTGCTGTATTTGTATTATCACTGTTGTGCCACAGAGTTTTAGACTGAAATCATGAGCACTTTATAGACCAAAGTCAAGGACAGGTTTATTAAGTAAAACATAGTTTAGCTGCTTGTGCTGTGTGATGATAATCTCTAATGCGGAAAGTGTTTTAAATAGTGCACATACCTATGTAAATTATGGTTAATGATTTCTGACTCCAGCTATTTTATTGAGCAAATATGAAGGGTGGGGACAAAGAAAAGCTGGAAAGTGTTGCAGATGAATGACAAGTCAAAAAAAACCCTGAAAGCTGTCAAACTGAATGTATCAGAAACATTGCAGCAATCCCCACAAGGTGCACTGACTTGTTTTTCTAGCAGGTATGCTTTATGCTTGAAAGCAAGAATTCTTTTGCTTTCTGCCATAGTGCAAATGGCCTGCGCAGAAGTAAAGACATCTAAAACTCAGTCTTCTCATGAAGTAAGTACTCAAGCGTGGCACTACTTTACAATAAGTAGTGCATTTGAGAAAGCACTGGTTACATACAAATCCAGGCTGAGGTGACAGTCAATGTCTCATGAAGGGCAAAACCAACTATAGCTACAATATTTTTTCAGTTTGTATACAAGGAGCTACCAAAGTTAAAAATTGCGTTCTCTTATAACTTGCTGTCCTTCCCAGAGAAGTCAGGTAAGATTGAGATTGTTTTTTTAAATTAAGACAACCACGACACTTTCATATTTCACACTTTTATTAATGCAATTTAAATTAGGCTGGAACCTGCAATTTCTGAATAGGCCACTTTGGGCTATTCATACAGCTTTGTCATAGCAAAAGAGGTACCTTAAATTCATCTGTGAATGAATGATGCCACATGCTGTGATTATTCAAAACATAGTGCTTCAGTGAAAGTTCAAATATATTTTATACACAGAGATTATGAAAATAGATTCTTTCCATACAATATTTTACTTCTGACAGCTATAAAATATGATAAAGAAAAATAATTTATTTATTTCTCTAGCCCTAGGAATCTTCTTCTACTGCAACATACACATCACTCTCAATGAAAGCGATGAAGAGGGAGAAAGGACTCCAAAATCATGCTGAAACACTTCCCTTGAATCTATAGGTATATTTCACCGAGGATACGGTGTTGTCCTAGAGCCAGATCAAGAGGCCTGGGAATCAAGAGGAAATAAAATCCCAATTCTGAACCACATGGCTGTGGGATTTTGAGTCCCAAAAGTTCATGTCATATGCCTGAGACAACCCAACTTGAACATAAGGGAGAATCCTGCAATTCCCCCCAAACAAATCATATATTGGTCCTGAACTAATCTTTCTAGATTGATAGCAAAGCAGCATTTGCATAACAACTACTGAGACAACAAGACTTCTGTTCAGAGGACTGGAAATCTGCACTGCAAGTAAAAGGCCACCCACGGAAGTAACTGTGGAACTCAAACCACTGCTATCAGTGTCATATTCTGTAAGTTTTAGGATACATTGGTTCTTAACTTCCAGCAACAGCTGTACTTCCTTAGATTCAAGGTTAGTTTTAACTTTGGGGTGTTTTAAGTAAGCATCTGAGGTAAGAGTTCTTGATGCACCTTTTCTTTTTTGGTATAGTTTCTTCATGTGCTTTTTGATTGTGTACAAAATAAATGTTCTGTTAGATGAGAACTAGATTGATACTACAGTGGAAACAGCTTATTAGATGAAGTGCACCACCACCTAAAGAGACGCTGTGAGGCTTTCTGCACTGCAGAAGCCACATAGTTCCCTATTTACTCACAGGTAAAGCAGTTATGGAAAGGGCACTTTGCCCTGTGCAAGACGCTTTTACAGCCACTTTTTAAGTGGGCCCAAAGTGGAATACTAAGATCTGGCTGGGAAAAGGATTATGCCCATGCTTTCAAGGATTCAGTGTACGAGAGTATTTGCATAGTACGTTGAGGGGAAACAGGTGCCAATTATTCATATACTCGAGTAATGACAGGAGGATGGAGCATGTGCTGTGGTCCCAGGGCTTATCTCTACTTTGGTGACAGTATTGTATTTTCCTACGTACGTTTAATTCCCCACAAAGAATGAAAAAACTACAGGTACTCCAGTTTGGAGTGGTTAGGACATTTGAAAGCAAGAGAATTTTTCTTACCAGCTGTGACTGATAGTGCAATTTCACACTAATTCAGAAAGGCTCAAATAAGCCATCCAATTTCGGAACAGGGATGTTTTAGTTATAACTAAATCTGCCGTGTATGCAGATCCCTTCAGTGGAAGCAGCTTCCACTGCATGTTTGAGAAGATGATAAAGCTGTTCTATACCTGCATTCAAACTACTACAAGGCAATATATAACCTATGATGACAGGTAACTACTGTTTTCACCCCAGAAGAAGAGAGTACCTGAAAACATCCTGTGGACATTGTCTAAACCACATCTGTCATTTAATACACTGTGCATGAATGAAGAAACTAACTGTAAATACACTAGTCTAACCGTAAACCTGAACTTTGTTGCTACTATACATTAATAACATTTTCTATTCATATTGCAGCTACAGATTTAATAAATAGAATTGCATATATTGTGCTTTATAAATTAAAATGCATTCCAAAGTGAGGCAATGCTAAACAATGAATCTATTTAACCCTCCCCCCCAAACCAGCCACGTGTCCTGGTTCTAGAACCAGCCCGCTTCCTCGCTCTGTTCACAAAGGTAGAAACAGTGTCTGTTTCTACCTCTTAAACAAAAGCTCTCTCGCCCAAAATGATCAAAGAAGAGTCTACTTAGGCACTACTGCAAATGTAAGTTGTCTAATAACCATTACTTCTAACTTAATAAGGGGAGGAGGTGAAGAAAGTCACAATAACTGTTTTGATTCCTTCCTCTTCGGGATATTCTCTTCCCTATCTGACGCTCTGAGACATGTGCAAAGGTGTCAGCATCTCTTCAAAGATAGCTCCTTTTACATTAGATCCCCTCAAATTAGCTTCTTGTAGATCACAACCTGATAGATCACAGTTCTAAAGGGTAAAAGAAAAATTAAACGTTAATTGAATATACCCAGAACTTAGTTCAAAACTTTACCTTAACTGCATTTATACAGAACCGCATATACTTCCATAAATTTCAGTGTAAACTTCTAGTCTATCACTCTAAACTAGAGTTTCAGTTACTTCTTGTAAGAGAGTAGTTCCTTATTGCAGTTAACAGCTGGATTTATTTTTAAGTCATTAGACTTACACTGTTTATATCAAATTATCTTCCAGGAGTTACTAATGCTTGCTGAACAAAGCTAGAAAGAAGCTGCCTCTTGCAATCTCACCAGGTATTACTCTGAATACTTCTCTAGTACTTGAGGAAGAACAGCCATGTACACAGCTTGCAAAATGAGCTAGTTTGCCCTAAGAAATAATAGACGGCAGTGTATCACGTGCCACCAGTCAGGTAAGATTCCATCATTACTCTACAAATGATGTCTGTCCCAGGATCAAAAAAAAACCCACCCCCACAAACGCCGGCAACTCCATTTCTCTTCGGCGATGGCATGATCTCACACTAAGAAGTTAGGTTTAGCAGTATTTCCATGCATCACTTTTGAGATGATACAAGCCATTCCTGTGGCTTTGAGGTGCCGGCAAATCCAAGACTTTGGATTCATCTTCCAAACTGAAGCTAGAACGAAATGCGATTCCCTAGATCATCCATATCTCGCTAAGACTGAAAAAAGACTAATGCACTCTGTCTGGTTTGAAGCTGGAGAACTCAGTCAAAAGCCCGCAATCCCCAAAATTTTATCAGTTGACTAGTTAGTATAAAAAATGAATCATAACTCACTTCCAAATCAGTTCCTGCCAAAGTTGCTCCTCTAAGATTACAGTTCTTTAGTTTTGCATTTTTCAGCGTTGCAACTCTTAAATTAATTCCTGTCATTTGACTACCTTCCATGTCAACACCTTTCAGGTTAGCACCTAAAACACACGAAGAGTAGTTTTATGAGGAAAAACAGTCAGAAACACAGTAGCTCCAGAACGATGCTTCCTCAGAGCCATGTAAATTGATAGAGGTCAAGGTAGAACTTTGAATTTAATGATTATACGGTCACACACTCAGTCCGGTATTTGTGGCCTCTTCTCATGAAAACATGGGATCGTACAAACCACAGCTAAACCTTTCACATGCCATACAGATTTACAAACACACGGTTCAGTTTCCACAGAGTACCTAACAGGCAAAAACGTCTTACCTTCCAAATTAGCTTTAAGGCCTGATGGATCTTCAAAATTGCACCCTTTTAGAGATGCTCCTTCTGCATTGGAACACAGCATCTTTACCCCCTGAAGGTTTGCACACTGATATAGACAGACATGTCAGTGAGATTCATAAACATGCGAAGATGAACAATACCAAAAATGATCAGAGTATAGTTTTCATTTCTGTTTCAGAAGTGAATCGTATTAAAGCACAACAGCCTTGTTACTGCGAGGAAGTGTAAGAACTTGCTATACTATTATCTTATCATCAGGAAGGCAGATAATTCTCACCCACTGCCCTTTTTTTCCTTTTTTTAACTTAAGATAGCTTCAAAAAGCTTTTGAAGTGATCTAACTAGAACAATTGCAGAGAATATTGAAGAACTACATGTTTTACACTTATCTGCTTGTTCCAATTCCTCTTCCCTTAAAATAACTAAACGACAGCCCAGACTTTCCAAGACGCAGCAATTCTTACATCAAGCACTGATCCAGAGAGGTCAGCTCTTTCAAGATTTGCACAGCACAGGTTGGCATGTGCTAGGTTGCAACGGCTTAGGTTAGCCATCTTGAAGTTTATGTATCGAAGATCTAGACGTGAAAGATCTGCTCCACTGAAATTGAGACCCTAAAACCAAAACAATAACCCCCAAAAAGTTACAGAAGGTGTAGCTCTGAACACAAAACAGTCAAGAGAATCATGTATACGTACATGTGTATATAAATATACACACACACGACCATCTATTCTACTACATAAGACTAACGAATCATAAATGCAAAGCTATCAAGCATTGTCCTTGGTTATGCTAGTGCATTTTACATTTAAATAGAATAGATTAACAAAATTGCTCCTCCAGGAAACCTTCAACCTAAAGAAGGAAAGCAGCCCAAACAGCACACTTGAATTTCACGTTAAGGTCCCTCTGCCACAGCTTGGAATCAAAACTCAATTAAAAAGCAGGGAGGGGAAGCACACGTTGTTTGAATTTCATGTTGTCACATGCTGCTGCAGGATAATTCACCACCAGACACCAACACTACAGATCAAGACAAAGTCTGCATTTTCGCACCTGACATCGCAGCTCAGACTTGGTTGGGGTTGCCAGCAGGAATCGGACAAACTCCTTTCGAGATATAGGAGAATGATCCTCAGCTGGCTGTGAATTCTGTTGAGAGAGTTGTTTAAAAGCTAATAGATAGGACTAAATTATATATTGCCTGGAAGAATAGGACATGGGCATTCACGTATTAAAGAAAACAAGTTACCTTAATAGCTATTTCTAGATGTTCAATTAGTGAATCGATACCAAAAAACCTGGCTTCTTCCAAAACACCTAACAAAAACAAAGCAGTATTTGTTATTTACAGGGAGTCATTAAACAAGAGAGCACTCTTCTTCCCTTACTGGAGAAGGCAGTGTATAGCCACACCAAGAACATGCCAAAAAGTTTGGGTTAATCCATCCTTACTATTGGAGGAGCATCAATTCAATTGACTTTCCCTACTTCTTATACCTTTTATACATTTTAGCTACACTAACAAAGATGAACAGATCACTTGTTGAAGTTTAAGGAGTCTTGAAGAAATGCATAAACGAATAAAACTGACAACAACATACATTATATTAGATGTAACTGGATAGAGGAAGAGCGAGCTTGCTTGCGGCTGAAAGGAAGAAATAACTCAGAAAGGATGTTTCCAATACCAGTATTAGGCTAAAGATATCAAATCCAGAATTACAGCCAGATATTAATCCAGTGTGGAGAATTTTTAATGGTCTCAAGAGAAATAAGTTTAAACAGTATATCTGCATTAAACCAAGCATGTGGAATTGCAATGCTTGAGATAAATTCACCAAAGAAAAATCCCAGACATTTAGATGAGCATACAAAAGTCCCACCGACTTGATCATATTTACCTGAGGGCAAAGTTTAACTTCTAAAGAGTAGTAATTTAGGAGATGTCATACAGGTAATACCTACCTAGCAAATTAATGCCATCATTTACAATGAGCTGTCCGTGACGCAAATAGTTCAAAATTGGCTCAAAATACTCTGGACTGCGGTCAATTAGGAATGCTCCTCTATGATCTTGCTTATTTCCCCAAGCATCTGTTTCCACAACATATATATAATTAAATTTGATATATTAATAGAAGAGCATTTGCTTCAGTTTCAGATTTTTATTACCAAAGGGTACTGGATTATGAAACATTCCACTCGAAAGGGCGTTTCTTAAGAGAAAAGGAAGGAAAAGAGGAGCGAGGTGGGGGGGAAATCACCTTAAAACACTCGCTCCTGCTATAACTAACTAAAACATTTTATCACATACAAAAGACTCATTGCTAGAATAAAAGCAGCATTAAGATTTTAGTCTGGCCCTGTTTCCTAAAGGCTGTCTCATACAGTGTTTGCTCATTGATTCCGTTGACAAAACTGAGCAAGATGCAACAGTAAGATGAAAACCTAAAATCAAACAAAGACCCCAAAATATTAACTACGGATGGAAGTTATATTTTCAGTTTGTGAGATGACAAGCACTACATGGGCAACAGAGAAATAAACAATTATTAAAAAAAAAGATGATACGTTCTGCTTTTATACTTTAACATACTTTTGATATTTCAACTTATGAACAAGAGTCTCAACTGGATAGTGCCTTTTGCCTACTTGGCTAATTTGATACTTAAAAAATAAAGTTTATTTCAATATACTAACCTTTATCTTTAAACATGTGGGCCAACATACTGTCAGGTTCTTTGTTAACCAAAGTGCTCCTAGAAAACAAAGGCAGCACAATTTTGTTTTTACAATGGAATGTTTTGCTCAAGAGACAAACTTGCTGGTTGGAGTGTATTTTCTGCCCTTGACAGCTTGAAGGTAACAATGGTGTGTGATATGCATTCCAACAGCTACAACACTGTACTGATTTAATTTCATAGAGCATGATAGCAAAATACATTCCTGACCTGAGGGATCGTAAAGGTACTTTAAATACAAAGCACTTAGTTAACTGAAATATTCCAAGGATAAATCCAGGCCTGTTCAGAGTTTTCGCCAGTGTTACTTCATATGTAAACTATTTTAAGAATTAATTTGTTGCAAAATTGTGGTAGCAAATACAAAATACAGAGGAAGTTGCAGAAGTCTAAGACCTCCTACTCCATAGTAAGTTATTTTTCCAGCTCTTTTGCAAGAGCGTCTGAAGCCTCACCAACTGAATGTACACTACCAGCTGCTATAACTGCTTTATGGAAATCAAGTCCTTTAAGAACAAAACCAACTTGTTGCATTTTTACCGTGTAGTGGTGAAGTATCGGCCTCCAACATTGAGCGTTAACCAATCTGTGTGTGACCCTGTTAGTTCTTCATGAGGTCTCCCATCAGTCTGAGGATCTACACAGAAAGAGACAGTAATTATTAGAAAAATTGTGAATATTTCTGAATCCTCCATATGGTAAGAGGTATCTTCTGAAAACACCAGAGAATAAAATTTTAGATTTACATTAAAGCAAAATAAAACTTCTTTACATTAAACAAAAGGTTAAACTTAAAAATTAGAGACTTACCAATGAATGGTTCCCCTTCACAGACAAACAAAACATCATCATCCCTGAGAGAGGAGCAGGCAGGGGGACGAGAAGGAGGAAGAAAAAAACCCAAAAAGATTAATCATTTTTTGTTCATCTAATTGACAGTGGGAACCCCTCCCGATTAGTTTCAGGTAAACGATAATCGGTTGCCACTAGTTAGAACTTCAGTATCTGATTTTTATCTTAATTTTGCAGGTTCCAGTGGACTGTAATACGATTTCTTCACTGGAGATGTTATCTGTATCAACCAGGTAGGGATCACTTCTGTTACTCAACAAGTTTAGTTTTACAAAATAGTTGCTTTTCTCCCCACTCTGGGAGTATTCTATGAAGCCAAAGCAATGCTAGAGTTTGTCTCCTTTTCAAAAAAAACTCCTCCAAGTGCTGATTAGAATAGTGGGATTTTCCTGGTACACACACTGCACTGTGAATCAACACAGCAGGACGTTAAAAGGCATAAAGTGCAGCTTGTATCAAGTTCTGATTCATCAAGATAGAAATGCTTTGAAGTTCAAAAAACAGCATTACTTTTCCTTGAGGCATGAAAGCATCTTTGGGCACACTGGCTGGAAATGATAATATCTGTTTTTAAGGAAAGCACTGGTTATTGATTAAGGTCAGAGGATTAATAGGCTAGTAAGTCTCTTAATCTGCATCTGTGATTAGACTTTTATTGGATAAGCCTTACCTAATCAAAGCGATATCATCAATGAGTCCACCTTTTCCATTGTATACACTGGTCGCTTTTATTCCAAGCTTATTACTAGCCACAGACAGCAAATCCGATAAAGTCCCATACACAGCCACAACCTGTGGAAGAGAGGTAGCTATAGGCACTGTGTTCATACAGTTTCTGCCATTTCAGACTTATTACCGGAGCTATCAGTAGCTTCGGGGGGGGGGGGGGGGGAGGGGTGAAGGAAGAAGATATGTATGGATCTTTACTAAAAAAAGGAAAAAAACCCACCAACTTTGATGTTAGAACCATAGCTGCCTTAAAACGGGGTGGCTTGCACGTCTCTCACCAAGGCTCAACATACTGAGGTGGCAATAGCAGTTAAAGAATGAGTGTTGGTACTGTAAGAATATTATGATTCAATTATTTATTTCTCTAAAGAAACACTGCTATTTGTTCTGTTCCGAGTCTCTCCCGAATTTATTTCCCTCTCTAAACGCAAAGATTAAACTACAGCCACACGAACTGCCTTAACGCCAGAGATGTGGATGGGAAAAATCAGAGATGATGGACAGCGTTTAGTAGAGCTGCTTGGCAGGGCCTTTGCCGATGCCAGTCGTGCACAGGTTGAGGCTAGAAATCTAACTATCTTCACTCTTGGGGCATTACTACATAGGTTTTAAACAAGCGAGCAGGGTTGAAGCGTTATTCGTTGGCTCTCCAGTAGCGTACACATGCGATATTGCTTCGACGCGGCAGAGACCTGACATCCTGCAGCATTTAATCTACACGCTTCCCGCCGTTACCTAGGACGTGCACAGCAGGACCCGAATCAATAATGACGATGTGAAGGTGACTTTAACTGCGACTCCAGCAACAAGTTCTCGGCTTGTCGCGATTCCCCTCAGCGTTCACACGCAGAAACGCCGGCAGCCGCCGACTGTATTTTCTGGTGAATAACACCCCGGCTCCCCCGCGGGCCGTGCGGGGCTTTCGGCCGCTCCAGCAGCGCAAGGACTAGGC